CGGTGGCACGGTGGCTCAGTGGCTAGCACTGCTGCCCCACAGCACCAGGGACCCAGGTTCAATTCCAGCCTTGGGCGACTGTCTGTGTGGAGTTTGCACATTCTCCCTGTGTCTGCGTGGGTTTCCTCCCACAGTCCAAAGATATGCAGGGTGGGTGGATTGGCTATGCTAAATTGCCCATAGTGCCCAGGGATGTTTAGGATAGGTGTGTTAGATATGGGAAATGCAGCATTAAGGGAATGGGTCTGGGTGGGATGCTCTTCGGAGGGGCAGCGCGGACCTGTTGGGCCGTATGGCCTGTTTCCACAGTGTAGGGATTCCATGATTCTTCTATGAAATGGTGGAATTTGAATTCAATAATAATCTGGAATTAAGAGTCTAATTATGATCATGAAACTATTGCCAATTGCCAATTGTCAAGGGAAAAGCCCATCTGGTTCACTAATGCCCATTAGGGAAGGAAATCTGCCATCCTTACCTGGTCTGGCCTACATGTGACTCCAAACCCACAGCAATGTGGTTGAGTCTTAACTGCCCTCTGGGCAATAAATGCTGGCCTAATCAGTGACACCCACATCCCATGAATGAATTTAAAAAAATTTGTTTGTACCACACACCCACCTGTCTCTGAGAACATCATTTTAAGTTGTTCCCGAATTCGCAGCATTCTGTTAACTTCTTTAAATTTTTACCAATTCACCATCATGCTGGTTGCCTTCAGTAATCATCCATGGTTTGAGTGAAAATGGTTCTAAAGGCTTCTTATTATTTCTTTTGAGCCCAGCTTCTCTGGCTGTACCACACTCCTCAGGAGGTTAACCATTTTGCTTCCTATAATACTCAGGAATGCAGGGATAACCATTTCTGCTTCAATTTTGTTTGTTTGAGCAAAGTAATGGAATCTCTATGTGTAGGAACTCCAGCTCTATATTTTCATCATATGGTCCTATGGCACCAAAATTACCCACTATTATTTCATAAAAATAGGAAGGACCTGCACAGCATGATATGCCATGAACATGTTAGCACTACCTTGTTTCTTCACATTCAAAACAAGGTATTCCTGGGGCTGCCTATTTCTTTCTATACCTTTCAATCAAAACATTTCCCCGTATGTAGGGTATTCATTACTCTCAGTGTTCTTTCAGATTGGAGTATGTGGTGAGCTTCTTCTAAATTGTTCACCTCTTCCCTGGGTGGATTTTTTTAATTGACCGTGTCTGCTTTGATTTAGCGATGGCATCGTTTGATTTATTTTCTTTTTATCCAAGTGCCTCTGAGATCTGTAGTTGTTTTTTGATGAATGAATAGATAGACCCATTGGATCCTGAATCAGTTTTTATCCTTGTTGTTTCAAGATGGACTAGGAGGCTGAACTGTTTCACAACAGCAGGAGGTTTATTAAAGAGGCGTTCAATCTACAGGCAGCAAGATTAGATCACTGTTTCCTGCCCAAAACGCTTGATGTGGCATCATGACATCACATGATAGGACTCTTAAAGTGAACACTTCACTATACTTACCAAATACACGTCAGAGTTGTGTTGGCATACTCTCCGTTTGGCTGGAGAAGCTGGATAGAGGTGACAGCAGTGGAGAGGGTGGAGGAAATTTCATAGGATGTTGCCTGGGCTGGAGAGTTTCAGTTATGAAAAGAGATTAGATAGACTGGGATAACAAGGTGTAGAGCTGGATGTACACAGCAGGCCAAGCAGCATCAGAGGAGCAGGAAACCTTCAGAAGGATCCAGACCCGAAACATCAGCTTTCCTGCTCCTCTGATGCTGCTTGGCCTGCTGTGTTCATCCAGCTGTACACCTTGTTATCTCAGATTCTCCAGCATCGGCTGATCCTACTATCTTAGATTGACTGGGGTTGTTTTTCCCTAAAGCAAAGATGATTGAATGTGGTTGGAGACAAAAAAATTGCAGATGTTGGAATCCAAGGTAGACAAAACAGGAGTCTGGAAGAACACAGTAGGCTCGGCAGCATCTGGAGGAAAGGAGAAGTCAAAGTTCTGGGTATTACCCCTCTTCAGGACTGGATGTTGTTTCTATAGCTAAGAGTAAAATCCAAGTGGTGTTTTGGGTTTGTTCCAACCCATATTCCTGTCTCCAAACAATTTTATTGGAGGTAGGTGCTGTGATTGGTAGCCAACTAGGGCTATGTGAGAGTGGGTGAGGCAGGATGCCACCACCAGGATCTTTCTGTAAGTGTTTCCCTGCTAATGTCAAACTCCAACAGGTACCTAGAGGTAATTTTTTGACAGTAGACCAGAATGGGGGAAGGAACCAATCAACACCTGTGGACCTGCTGCCTTAAGGGTGGGAGGGAGGTTCTTAATTTGATCTTAAACAAGATAGCGCCTCTAACGGCTACTTCCAGGAAGACTGTGCATGTAATTGGAATGCAGACAATATTGGAG